TTTAAATCCTTCCGGTCTAAAGTGTTTTGAATAATAGTCCATGCTCCCTTCTGTGTAACCAACCAAACCCCTTAAAATGACCTTAATATTCAATTTGTTTTGGACCTGATCCACGACAAATTTTATAAGTTTCATCATTTCCTCACTCATCATCCAAATCCTGTAACAATCCCTATCAAGCTTCAGTTGTCCCTACAATTCTATCCGGTTTTTTTTTTTAATTCAATTTTTTATTGTTTTCCCTACCTCCCCTTTTAGGCTATACGGGATTTTCTCGGGCCGGAGGGGAATTTACAATCCCCTCCAGTACTGGGACGCGAACTCATACTTTTTTTTAATCTCATAACTTCGGTTATCTCATTGCCGGGTAACTCGCGGTGCTGTACACATGCGTTAGCCCTTTCGGTCACCCCGCCCCCTCTTCCCGGGGGTTAAACCAATTGTGGTCCCGAAACTTTTTGCGACAATGACAAGTGACATTTTATAACTTAAATAATTAAGAACTTTGAAGATTCCTACATTATGAAATCATAAATTGTGCGTAATTTAATAAATAAAAGGGTTTGTTTAATTTGTATGCACTTACTGTGCACTTTTTGTATCAAAAAGTAAAGTCGAAATTCACAAAAACATATTTGATAGTTAACCCATATCAAAAATGCACTTAGTGACTTTTTCAATAAACTGACGATATATTGGAGTTCTGGCAATGGCCAGTCTCCACTGGCTTCCAGTACCAATGACAAAGCTGGGAGAGAAGCACTGGTATCTTCTTTAGTCTTAAATTGCCTGTCACATTGGAAGAACAAAGCTTGAATTAGAGTCCTCTGAGTGAATGTAAATTTTGTACATAGGTATGGCTGTGTTTTGTTTTTCCCAGCTTCAATTTATTGTTTTATTTATATTTTAATATATAAATTATCTTTATTTATTTTGTTCTTTATTTAAATTATTTATATTTATATACATTTTGTTACTCAATAAACTTATTAAAAAAAATTAAAAAGTTTATCAAGGCTATTACTACAATTAATCCTATATGTTATTTCTAAAAGGTGTTTTTTTTTTGTCAGTACGCCATAACATTGTCAATTCTTCATCAAATCCAATGATTGACTACTCATTTTGAAGATATTCTCCTTCATATGCGAAAAATAGTCCTATACTCTCGAAATTTCTGGAAAAAAAGTTATGAAGGAAAAGCAACTTTATTTGCAAATAACTCAAAAAAGTATGCATTTTTTTTCTTGGTTGTACCCATGATAATTAGAAAGATTACTAAATTAAATACAATATCCACAAAAAAGTGTAAACTTTTTGAGTGATTCGGAATTTAATTTTACCATCCCTCGTAACTTTTTTTCCAGCTTCTTTTCGTTGAAGTATGTTATATAGGTAAATTTAAAAGGTGTCAAGAAATTACTTCAGCGAAGTTTCATTGAAATCGGTACATTCGTTTAGGACCTACAGTCTATAGCAACCCAGGTTTTTCGGCCGCAATTTTGAAAGAAAAAGGTGGATGGTAATGTTGATTAAGGAGGATCATCCTTGGGTGACCTCTGATTTTATATCCAAATTTGAAAAAAGTCGGTCCAGTAGTTTCGGAGAAAATGCGCGGATGACGGATGGACAAAAAAATTTTTATTCGTTTTTCGAATTCTACGCATTCTGAAACGTGAAACCTCAAATTTTGAGAGGGATTTTTGAACTTTTTGGTCGATCACAATGGTTGATTATTGAAAATAATAAACCAAAAAAATTGTATAAATCGGACAATTATTAACAAAGATATAGTCCATTCGTTTGTTCTTACATTTTATTTTTTTTAGTAATTTAGAAAATCTCATGATCGGAGCATTATTTTGTCTTTATTACTTTTATTATCTCTCCAGTTAAAATAGGTTCTAACAAAGCAATATACACAGATATTTTGGTCTATTATGTTAAATGGAATATTGTAATCGATCTAGGAAAAAATATTAATTCCTTCTTGACATGATACATAGGAACTACTTATTACCATATTGTTTTGCTATTTCTTCATTAAAGTAAATTTTCTGCGAATTATTCTCATGGGCCAACTAATTATAATTAATTTCACTGTTTAAAAATGTGTCATACTGCTAAGTGCATATTATATGAATGAGTAATTGTCATTCTTCTACGTAGTAAACTGTATTATTAGTCAATAAACTAATTTTAAAAAAAATAAAACAATAATGATAGAATATGTGGAGACACCAAATATAGTTTTTAAAAAAGAAAAAGATCTGTCTGTTCGTAGCATTAGAATGCTTTAAAAAATATGTCTCTCAATATTTTCATTTGATTAAAACTTTTATAAATATTCATCTGTTTTGGTGTTAATAAGAGCAATAATCTCCTCTGATTTAGCCAATATAAGATTGGTTAATCTGTTTATCTTTATATAATAGCTTTAAAGATTAGAAAGTGATATAATATAAAATAGAAATTTCAAACTACTGCTTAGCTTTGAAGTCAACTAAAACAAAAAAATATAACCTTTTTTTTCCCATCCCCAAGGAATATCTTGATTACAAAATACAATATATATATAAATGTATATATACATAAATTTTCAATTTCCTTTTATTGCCCAAGGGCATTTTAAGGTAAGAGGGCTAAGCACGCTGTATGCGTTCTTTGCATCCATCTTTGTGGCCAGAGGCCTTTTATTATACCACTGGGCGTGGAGGGACCGCCCTAAATATAATCTTACGCTATAGTAAGATATTAAAAAATTTAAGATAATTTTAATCATTGAGTATAGAACATCAATAACAAAAAATCGCCATTAATTGCACTTGTTTGTTATAACTCCACCAACGGATATGTTCCGTTGGTTATAAGTTACTTGGAGATGTCCCGATTATGTAGGACACCATCATCATCATTATAGAGAGCGCTAGGACCCGTCACCGAGTTTAGTTTTCCTCTAAAAACCTTCGCCATTCGGCTCGGTCTGTTGCAGCAGCTCTTTGGATGCCAAGAAGGACGTCCGCAGCGACACATTCCGTCCATCTCACATTAGACTGACCAGCTCTCCGCTTGCCGAGAAGATCATCAGTCAAAATCTTCTTAGTAATGTTGTCATCCTCCATTCTCACAAAGTGACCGACCCATCAAAGACTCCCGAGATTCATCATGGTTTTATTGTTAGCCAAGTATAGTTTTCTTGCTTCTTCTTCAAGACCAATAACCGCTTCTCTGAAGGCAAATTCGAATCTTGCATTAATGTCAAGATCCTCTGCGTATCCCAACAGCTAAATTGTGCTGATCATGTATGACGAATAATTAAAACAGATGATGAGTGGAAGAGAGAGGACAGTCTTCAATAGTTATATGTACCTATTAACCCCCCCCAAAAAAAAAGTACCACTACAATCCATGAAGGGTTTTAGGTTCAGTACTATGGGAGGAAGTACTGTTACTTTGATAGTACTACCAACGGTTGTGTATGGAGAGGATTGGGTCAATATCACGCTCAACCGCCAGGTTTTCTCCCTTAATTAATTATTTAATCGAGAGTACCCACTTTATAAAGGCTGGGTGTGCTCTAAGAGAGTCTCCCGACTCCAAGGTCGATTCACGGCTGATGAAAATTACTAGTCATCAGCAGGAGTACCCTCCCCATCCCCCAACCTCGATGCCACAAGAATATCCCCCCTCCTCCTCCCACTCCCAAAATATTTTATTGCTCATATTTTCTTCAAAACAGAGCAAGCGTAGGTAGAATCAGAATAATCGTAGATCATATACAATTAAAATTGCTGTGGTCTGTTTTACGTTTTCTCCTTGTTTCTTAGTATGAAACTTTTCATCCCGAAAATTCATAACACTGTCAAAATGCCGGTCCCTTAAAAATTTTGATGGCGCAACTTTGGCCATGAAACCCCTTTCTGGGCACACTTGTTCATCAGCCGGACTCAAGTCATGACCTTAGTCGTCGGAACCTGGGTCTTTGAGTTCTGGAAGTTCATGCTCACCCATTGCACTACCCCTTATACGTAAATAAAGTCGCAATAATTTCAATGATGAATAATGGTAATGGATATCATAAATAACTTCATATTATAACAGTTTCTTGATCTGACCACTGTCCATTATTAGCTTGTAGAGAGACATGAGCAATCACTTGTTTAAAACTTATAAAGCTTCACAACTGACAATCCAATGAATTTGTCTCCTTTATTTGATAAACATTAATATTAATAATTTTCATGAGTGGTGTTATACTATAAATCTAAAAATGACAAAAAGATAATTTTTTCGGAGAAATTGCTAGACCGAACCACCTCCCCCCCTCCCTTTACTAATAGCAAGAAGAGGAGGCGGCTATAACTCACCAGCTTATGAGAGTCAAAAGATTAAATCTTGCCCTCAGGGGTTGCAAAAAATTATTCCTTGCTAGAAATATGGAATTAATAATACTAAATAAAGCTGGCTACTGCCCAGGACCATGCCTAAACTGACGTTTCAACAATCGAGACGCTTCTCACCCATCGTTCTCACCTACCATCGATGTATTCATTGTTTTATTCGCGGGCGCCATTTTAGAGGTAGGAACTGGTTTGTCAGCTGTTGGTTCTCCCGCGTTCTCTCTTACTTTTTTAAACACTCAACATGCTATTGTCTGCTTTAACAATGAAGTGTAGACAGTTAATATCTGCCCCAATGTCTACAATAACGGTTCCTTATGTTGTTTTGTTTTGTTTTATTATTTACCACATAATATTGTGATTTGTTTGAAACTGTTGCTGGACAAGAAATCAGAATACATCAGAAGTTGACAATGGGAAAAACACGTCAGCTGTTGTGTGTGGAGGTAATATAAATCTTCAGGTTTTTTATCATTTGATATGATAATTGTGATTAAGAGATTTGTTGATTGGCTGTTTAAGGAATTGTTTTAATGATCAGTATTCAGACAATATAGTAGTTGAAAATTCATTTTAAAAAGTAACTTTTAACGATTGAAGATGGCATCATTAACCAGTAAGTACTTTTTGAAAAGTGTTTTGTTTTTCTTTCCAATTATTCATAATGAAACTAAATTTGTAATTGAATCATGCGATTGTCATATTTTTATAATATTACTTGTATTTTGAATTAGTTGTTTTTTATTTCAGGTCATACAAAAAATTCATGAGAGCTGATTGTATTTTAATGCTTTTATCAAAAATACTCTTATGATTAAATAATAAATAGTAACTCTATAATAATAATTCTATAATGAGGATTGGTATTTTGTAGTAATTAGTTTATTTATAATTTCTGTGGAAAAACATTGTCTAAACACACATCTTTGTTGCATATTAGTTAAACGACCTTATTTAAAATTGCTCGCTTATTTTCTGTGATTGTAATTTTGTTAATTTTCAGTTTAAATGATTCATTTTGTAAAGTTAAGATGAGGCCTTTACTTGCTCTTCGTTTATCACTTTTAATTCACCTCTTGATCAATAATGATTTCTATTTTAGCTGACAGTTACTTGCCTGATAACTTCACCTTAACATTAGGATTTCTGAAATGCAATTATATTAATTACATTTACATAGCAAATATCCTACCCTTTGCATCATCTTTGAGCCATATATGCTAAGCAATATCTTTAATTTTGATAACTCAAGTTCTGAAATATTATTTAGCTGAAGTTGAAGTTTTAGCTGCTTGTTGGTCGTTAGTAGGAGTAAAGTCTAACGAGAGGATGATAGCATTTTATGATAAAATGAAATTACAATTTAATTTAGTTAGTTGAAATTTAAATGAGTTAATTGAAAATGTAAACATTCTAATATTAATAACACAATGATATAGTGTATTGCTCAAATTATTTTACAGTTCCAGAAAGGTGTTAGTTTAGCTATTTACACAATGTATGTTTTTTATTGATGCTGTTCTGAACTGTGGCAAGCATTATTTAACATTCAAATTGTTTTATTATTTTTAGAGGCTTTTCAGTTTTGAGAGTTATGAATTAGTAATTTTAATTTATGTAAAATAAAAGCACATTAATTAATTAACTGATTTTATAATTTTTTGTTGATTTATTGGTTTGTATTATATTATATGATAGTTGACCATTTTTAATGTATTCAAATATTTTTTACTTCAAAGACATGTAAAGAAAATAATGAATATCATGGGTGATAAATATTCAGAACGCTGTCATTGTAAAAAATTTTTATTAGTGCCGGCGTTTCAACCCAAATATGTTCATCATCATCAGGGTGTGCTTCGAGCAGTGAATGTTTTCAAGTACTGGTTTTCAAGTAAAAAAAAATTTATAATGACAGCGTCCTGAATATTTATTACCCATGACATGTAGAACAGTCGACTAGCTTCCTTCAATAAAATAAAGAATAGTTGAATTTTAATTTAATTATTGTTATTGATAATTATTGCTACCGTGTTGTTGCAAAAATGTTTGACAACCTAATGTGTTATTACTATGTTATTTATTTTAAACATTATTTATGTATGTTTCAGATATCAGAATTGCTTTAATCCAAATGACAGTTGGTAAAAATAAGTTGAAAATGTAGCACGTGCCAGGAAAATGATTTCCGAAGCCAAACAGAAGGGTTGCAACTTAGTAGTTCTTCCGGAATGTTTCAATAGTCCCTACGGAACAAGTATTGTTTTTTTGTTTGTAATTACTTAGTTTTGTATATTTTTGTTTTATAATAGTTTCTGTATTCATTTAGTTTTCATCATATAGATTACTGACCATTCCTTTGTTGATTTCAATTCTAATTAATCATATTAATACATCATAATACATTCTGGACTATTTGTCTATATTTATTTTTTGCATTTAGTGTATCCTTTCTGTTATTGGTGGATAGATATTATAATACAAACATTTAATCACAATCCTTTTGTTTGCAAAATAAAATAAAAGTTTAATGGTAATGTATTAGGTCATGAACAAGGTCCAGATTTTTATGCTCTAAAAACAGAGAATATGCTGTATAATATGCAGTAAAAAACACTGAAATATGCAGTAAAAAAAACATCATGAAAAATACAGTAACTGAACTCTAAATATACTAAACTTACTAATTACTTGATTAATAATCTATCAGTAATATATTTAAATATACTGTTGTATAATAAAAAAAGTTTTAAAATCGAAATCAGATTATGGAGGGATTAAAAATTACAATTTAAGTTTTTTTTTAATATCTAAAATAATGTGAGAAGGAGTTGATCAGGGGGTGTGGTCAAATTAATACTAAATTAAATAAGTAGAATTATTTAATTTTGCCGACGTTTCGACCCACTTTATAGGTCTTCATCAGGGCATAGGATGTAGCACTGCGGGAGGCAGTTGAAACACTCACTGATGATAACCGACAAAGTCTGTCGAAACGTCGGCAAAATTAAATAATTCTACTTATTTAATTTAGTATTAATTTGACCGCACCCCCCCGATCAACTCCTCATATTATATCAATGGTCAACCATCTCTCCATCATCTAAAATAAAGAGTGAAAATATCTAAAGACAGATAATAAGGTTATAATATACATATATCCATTATAATGGTCTAAAACATGACATGAACCACATTAAAAAAATTAAAATATCAAAATCATATAAAGTATATACAAATCAAAAACACTTATTGTATTACCATATAATTAAATGTGTTGTTCAGACTAAATTCCTGTTTTAAAATCTATAAACTATTCAGGTTAAAAATCTAACATTAGTCAATTTTACTTTCACGAGGGAAAATTAGAATGCATTTCTTGCGAAGGTTGAGGAGATGCATAGTACAAACACATTTCATCAATAATCCAAATAGTCACTAAATACACTTTTGAAAACATATTTGTGAATTACGAACATGCAGAAACTCATTGAAATTATACTTACTTTATATAGGAAAGTATATGAAGTAAACTCATTGAGTGTACCAAAATAAGATTAAACTATTAAATGTCAAAATTAGTCACATTAAGTTTGCAATGTTTTAATTTCACACAGAGAAAATTAATCAAAATACTTTTATAAATTGATGAATTTTTTCAACAAATCGATGATATGGATTTGTTACTACGAAAAAACAAAATCATTAATAACCCTTCTTTTCAATTATCTTTGCCAGCCCTTCCACTTTTTTTTTTATCTCTATAGAAACAATGGATGTAATTTGAAAATAATGGGCTAATTAAAGATGGTTGTCTGATTATATTATGGGCTTAAGAGCAAAGCGAATTACAATAGATCTTACCTGTATGCTGATCAATCTGTGATTATCTTTCACTTGCAACTTGTTTTGGACAATAATTTGTTGACATAGAAGAAGGGATCTTCGTGAATCGGAACACCTATCAAGAGAATTGCGGAAGGGAGTTTTAAGTCCTCAAATGTGGTAGATTATATTGGTTTGCTCGTTGAAAATAAATGTACAACTTTAATCTTGTATTTATATTTGTTATTGCACCTTCTTTGTTCTTATACATTATTAGATTTATATTGCACCTTCAATATATATACATACATATATATGTACATAGAAAGTTAATACTGATTTAATTTAAAAGCTAGTCAGGTAACAGCAAATTCAAAAAAGTCTTGTCCATATAAGATCTTTATTAAATTTGTTATTTAATTAAACCAATAAGTTGGAGGATGTAAAATTAATGTCAGAATTGTTTCACATATTCTAGTTTAAGAGTTTTGTATTAAATAAATAGCTATTGACTATCGCTCGCTACATATGCTCATAAGACAATCATACTTGATTAGTTCATGTCTTTTGAACTTGTTCATATATTTATTTCAAATATTTAGTACAGATTAGGTTTTTTGACTTTTTTTGTAACTTTTTTTAATTTTAGAATACTTTGGAGAATATTCTGAAGAAATCCCAAATGGTGAAACCTGTATTGCTCTATCAAAAGCTGCTAAAGAAAATGAAGTTTTTCTTGTTGGTGGGTCAATCCCAGAAAAGGATAATGGCAAATTGTTTAATACTTGTACAATATGGAATCCTCAAGGCAGTTTGGTTGGAAAGTATAGCAAGGTAAGCTAAAAGTTTTGTATGCTGCTGGTTTCTATTGTATTAAAGGTTTTTGTTTTTTTCTATAAAGTAATTATTATAACATCAACGGACATGATCCCCATCAAAGATTATTTCATCTCCCAAGTACTTGGAAATCATAGTTGTGATTTACTCAAAGGCATAATTTAGTGCAAATAATATATTTGGCAATATTACAGGGTTTCTTCTGCCCAAATGCCATTTGGTTACAATTATTCATTTAGTTTTCCCATTGTGTAAGCCAATAATTGAAATTTTATACCCAATAATGAAAGCTGTATCATTATATGAGTTTCAGTTTTGATATGTTAGGGGATGCCAGCTTTTTTCTTTATGGATTTACTTAATTTTATTATTGAATAAACATTTTATAAATAACTGAATCAAACTGAATACAATTTTATCGGAACATCAAATTTTAGCTGGTGTTGTGATTTATATTTAGACAACTTTTTTAACAATAATATTGTATATTTTAATAACTCTGTTTGTGTTATTAGTATCTAATATATTTATGAATTCATATTTTTTTGCTTTATTAGTTTTTAGGTATGAGTAATCTTACTATTCACTTATAAGATTTGTATATATAGATTCATCTCTTTGATATTGATATACCTGGTGGCGTAACATTCAAGGAGTCCGATAGTTTATCACCTGGAAAAAATATTTCTGTCATAGATGTAGGTGCTTGCAAAATAGGAATAGGAATATGCTATGATTTGAGATTTCACGAATTAGCCACCATATACAAGGATTTAGGTAGTATTTTTATTGTCTATTCAGCTTAACTTTTGTCTGATAATTCAAAAATAATTATAATAGATCATGGGTGATAAATATTCAGGACGCAGTCTTATAAATTTTTTTTTATTTGTGCCGACGTTTCAACCCAAACATGTAGCTCATCATCAGGACTGAAAATTTTAAAATACAATCAGAGATATAATATTATACGACTGATAATGGTGAATAATAAACTATAGTGATTGATGGTACATGAATCTTAACTATTATTACAATAAAAAATATTAAAAATGAAATATGTAAAAACTTATACAAACTAAAAATAATGTATATAATTCATTTATAAAAATTTTGTATAATGTTTTCTCTTACTAACCGTGGTTCGAGCACTGAAGGCTTTCAAGTACTGACACATTTAGTAGGTAAGTGTAAGGGTCGGGTGGAGGATTTCCCAGTTGTCCTTTTTCAGATAGCAAAATGTAGGTAAACATAGTCAGAGAAGAGGAGGGAGGTAATATTTCTATTTGTAGAATGTAAATAATATGCTGGCTAAATATTCAAGATGTGTGTTATTTTTTATGGTTAAAGAATTGTGACTATTGGCTAGTAATGAAATTAAGATAAGAAAGAGGTGCCAATCAATATAAATATAACATAGTTTGATTGAAGGTATACAATGGTTAGCCAAATAATATTTATAATTTTCATTTTTAATATTGTGTATTGTAATAATAGTTAAGATTCACCACCATCAATCAGTATAGTTTATTATTTACCATTATCGGTCGTATAATATTATATCTCTGATTGTATTTTAACATTTTCAGCCCTGATGATGACCCACATGTTTGGGTTGAAACGTTGGCACAAATAAAAAAAATTGTATAAGACTACGTCCTGAATATTTTTATCACCCATGAATGTAGAACAGTCGACTAGCTTCCTTCAATAATTAATTTGTGACAGACTCGTTATGGGTTTTCTGTCATTTATCTAGGAAAGGAAATGGGGCTAATAGAAATTTATTTGACTAATTTAATTATTACAAACTTTCCGTGTATTAATTTTTTCAATAGTGTCTGTATAAAAAACAATTGTGATAAAGTATTCAGTGATAAAATTAATTGGATATAAACTATGGTTTATGGCCTTTCATATAAAACCTCATTTAAATATTTTTTTTTTTAGGAGTAGATTTACTTCTTTACCCTGGGGCCTTTAACATGACTACAGGACCATTGCATTGGGAACACCTCATCAAAGCTCGAGCTGTTGATAATCAAGTATAACTACGTCAGTCAGTTGTATGTCATCAGATGACCTTTTATTTTTGTGTGATATTTATCTTTGCTAGGTATTTGCTGCTGGTATTTGTGGGGCAAGAGATGATTCTGCTGATTATGTTGCTTGGGGCCATTCAGTGTTAATTGATCCTTGGGGAAAGGTTGTTAGCAAAGCTGGTGCTGAGGAAACCACACTGATCGCTGATATAGGTTAGTTTTTTATTTACCAATTTTTTTTATTATTTATGATAATCTATACACAAAAAATATAGATTATATGAATTGGCTCAAATTATTCGATGAGATCTCTTGATTGTTTTGAAACAATATCGGCTAAAATCAATGGCCTGTGATTGAATAAAATGTGTTTACTTAATTTGCTTAAAGATATGAAATAGTTTTTAGAGCGATTGATTTTTAAGTTTGTTTTAAGTGTTATTTCTTGAATTATTTATTCTCATGAGTGTTTTGAAAGAATATAAACTCAAAACACTGACCTGTAATTGAATAAAATATGTTAAATCAATTTTTTTTAAAAATAATGTAAAGATTTTTTGAGCAAACAGCTGGATTGACTTTTAAGTTTGTTACCTTTAATTATTCGGTGAGTGTTTTGAAAACAAACAAAAAAAAATTATTCCTCTTACCCATACTACTCATTGGAAGTTAATAATAGGCTCTGCTTTATTCTGTAATTCGTTTACATTGAGGAATACCTAGTGTATTTTGACAAAATACTTTTTTAAACCACCCTGTTCAATATAATGAGAACCAATGTGTTTGTTGACAAGGAAAAAAGTATCCAGGATATTCTTTTGGCTTTGATTGATTCACTTATGCCTGGAAAGTATCTATAAAAGTGAAAATATTTTACTTAGCATTTAAATACCCAATATTGTTTCTTTAAAAATGACATAATACATTCGCACTGCTACCATTTTCTTTTGCCTTATTTCTGTCTCAATGGTCCATAGCACCATTTTACATTTCAGAGACAAGAAAAAGTCACACTATACTAAGTTAGGTTAATGACCACTTTCAAGTGTATTTTTTCATTGATATTGCATTATTTTATTCTATTTTTATTATTTATACATTTATATTTGATTTATAATTAACATTTTCATTATGTAATTTTTTTGTACTGTTTTATTATACATTTTTCATCTTCTTATATTATTATACTATTTTTCACACTGGTTGTTATTTCATTTTTGTTCTAATGAATGTCTGAATCTTGAGCCGAAATGTCAGCTAACAGAAGAATAAAGTTTTCTATTTGTTTTTACTTCCATCTTTGACCACATCCACTACCAACTTCTACTACTATTTGATCTATGGTCAACACTATCTCTCTATCATGGGTGATAAATATTCAGGACGCAGTCATTATAAAGTTTTTATTAGTTTCGAAGTATCAACCCAAACATGTGGATCATCATCAGGACGTGGTTCGAGCACTGAAGGTATTCAAGTACTTAATTGAACCACACTGACTTGAACCACAGGTCAGTACTTGAATACATTCAGTGCTCGAACCACACCCTGATGCTGATGATCACCCACATGTTTGGGTTGAAACTTCGACACTAATAAAAACTTTATAATGACGGCGTCCTGAATATTTATCACCCATGATATGTAGAACAACCTTCAACTATCTCTCAACCTTTATAAATAATTATAAATTTAATATGACTATTTTTTAAAACTTCTGGATATTTAAGAAATCGTATTGCTTTTTTTTTAGATTTAAATGTATGCAAGGCTATAAGGGAACAAATCCCGATACGAAAACAGCGGAGAACTGATTTGTATGAAACGTTGTACAAAGGAAAAGTTCAAGAAGGGTAATAATTATGTTTTTTACTTTCTTTATTTTAAATCTCGCAAATGTAAACAGATATTTTTGAAAAGACCAAATAAAACATTGGTGGAAGAAGCAGTTATTGTTTTACTTCTTGTCTATGTTCCTATTCTGCTTACCAGTCCAATACCTTAACCATGAATAATTCTATAAGAAAGATACAGCCTTTATTTTAATTAATTGTCAATTCTTACCATAATTTGTTCAACGTGTTCCTCTTATTCTTGGATCTCTGAAATTCTGCATCTTAAGTTTATTTACTCAAAAACGTTTGGTAATGAATTATTAAACATTCCTTCTTAGTGTTGATGTAATTTGGTCATGTTTGCTATTTTGTGTTTTCTACAGAGCAGTAAACCTGCCTGTTACTATCCAGTGTTCAAGGTGCTTTTTATTTGTTTTCCTAAGATGGTAAGTTTCTTTTACGAAGGATAATTCCAAGAGCTAAATTTTGTTAAAGTATTTGTTTTAATTAATTGATTTTGTGTTGTAAAAAATTTGAATGTTTATGAATAAAACAAACTTCTTATGTAGCCTAAGGAAGACACTGACCTAGTAGACCAAGACCTGAATTGCAGTATTGAAATAAAGAGAAAGTAATGGCGAGATACTATATTAACTTATGTTCTACGTTTTCTTGGGAATAGCTTTTACATTTATTTCAAAATAAAACACAAAAATAACCAATTAGATTTCACTCATGAGTTGGTCAAGACTTATTTGTGGACTTATTAGTTAGATGATAGGATACTGGATGAGCCATTCCATACCAGAAAATAATTTTTATTTCCCCTGCTACATTTTAATTTACTTTGTAAGAGCCTTAGAAAACTACCATTCAAAATTTATTTTTATATTTTAATTACGTTTCAAATGAGGACCTACATTTTTTTCTGGTGACGTAGTTTTTGAGTTATTCGGGGAACACTTGTTATTGTTTTAGAAATAAAAAATTTGTATTGTACGATTTTTACCATGTGAAACAAATCTATTACACATATACAGCATAAGGAGAACTACATTTCAAAAATTTCAGTTTCATAGGCATTGTCATATTTTAGATACACTGATCAATAAGGCAGTGTACAGATGGTCTCTTTCTTTCGTATAAATTGATTAAAAAAATGCACTAATTACAAAAATAAAAAATTATAATTGAGGCACTAATCTTTTGTTTTTTAAATTATAAAATTATTGCCTATATTTAATTTAGTCTTCATACTATTACAATAAAAAGTAAATTATCCTCTAAAACAATAGGATTCAATTAATGTTGATAAGCATTAACTTTGGTTATGGAGTCTGTTAGCTCTGAACGTCTTATTTATTTAAATAAGAAGTGGTAACACAAACTGCTTTGAGATTGGTACCTGGCTTATTCCTACATTATAATATATCACATCCTAAACAGATACCTTAATATGTATAATTTAAAAAAGGAAAAAAAAAATTATTTGCTTCTTAAAACCAAATTTCTTAATATGTATAATTTAAAAAAAAAAATATTTGTTCCTTAAAAATTTTCATGGTGACAATTATATTTTTATTTTAAGTAATAGGTTTTTGTTTTTTTGATTATGTTTCTGTTTAAAAAAATAATAAAATTTCTATAATTTCTACAGCAAGATTTACGTTAAGTAATTTTAATTATGACTTATTTGAAAACCATTTAAACCTCTATTAGTTTTAATTAAATTGATATTTTTATGAACAGGAGAAAAAATTGTGTGATTTCAATAAGGAGTGGACTATGATACGAATAACTTCTTTGTTTTATTAATTATTCAAGAATTTAGGAAATGATATGTGATTTTAACACGTGAGTATGTAGAAAAAATGTTCTTTCTTCCCTAAATATATAAATAATAAAAATTCTTCAAGGTAATCAGTGTTTATGTTCTTTGCCATAAATAAATTGTGCCCTTTTTATTGTTTGAAACCTAAATATTTAAAATTGTGTAAGTTTCAGTTTAGTGTCAATCATCTAAGCATGAAAGGAGATTGGTCAATATAAGAAAAACAAAGATAGTTATTTACGGTAAACTAATTCTGATATAAAAATAAGAGCAAACAGTCATTATTTAATTCATGAAAAAAATAACATTCACTCTGTTTTCAAAGGGTGTTAAATTTATATAATTTTTTTGAAATTTCAGGAACTATTATCACTAGAGACCGGGTTTTCATGTTATTGCAGATTTTGTTCGCTTAGGTGTAAAAACTTCAAACTGGACAATTTATCCGTTTCAGGATCTGTAGAATAACATATTGAAATTTCATTTTGCAAGTTTTGGCCTTTTCGGACTAAATTGCAAGTTTTTGGTTTTTGTTTCATGATATTGCATATTTTGTAATTTAAGAAGTAAATATCAATTTCAATTCCATAAAGTAAAATACTTGAACAAAAATTCCTGTATAACATGTAGACAGGTATGTATGAAAATATTCATTTAATTTTATTATTTATTGTATTAGATTTGTAGTTCAGGACAGAAATGGTCCAACGCATGGATCACATAAGGACAGTTAAATTATCTTTCTGGGATGAAAGGATATTTTAGACTCACTTTGTTTTATGTAGGCTACAAAATTATTATCCAAGTAGACTCACATTTTATTGTATAAATAATAGTATAATTAGGGTAACATATTTAATATCTTAATTGAATGCAAGTGTATGTAGCCACTTAAAAACTTCTTATCCTCATGGTACTGTCATTCGTAGCTCTAAAACGTGTATATTTATTTTCCAGTTTTCAAACGTTATATTACCGCTTGGCCAACTTTGACAAAACTCCGCTGGGTTACGCGAAATATTGTTGATTTTAATCAAAGCTAAGGGAGCTTAACTCAAAATCCACTTTTTCAAAATTTAAAATTGATCTACAGCTGTAAAATCAAGCTTAAATTAAAAAATGCACGTTTTTAAAATAAATATAAATGATTTTGACTTAATAATATACTTTCATGTGGAATTAAGTTAATTGTTGTACATTTTAATTTAGAATTAGATTTTTCTCACGTTTTACCTAACAGCAATTTTGAGGCTATAACTACTAACATAAGAGTAAACAAGAATTAATATTACAAATTAAACAAAAAATATGATTTTTGGATGTTATGTATGCAATTTTACACTTTTGGGTTTTTATTGCACTATTTTGTACATTTTGAACAAAATGCACAAAATCCGGTGTCTAAATTATCATCCTTCATTCTTTATTCATTACATTGTTAAACATTATGGATGCATTCTGTCCATTTTCAAATCCACTTTCATATTCTCGAAACAAAACTTCATAAAAATTAGAAATTATTGTGGTATTTAAAAGTTTATATCCATTTGTTGTATTTACATTTTTTATTATTATTTTTTTCTTACATGAAATAATTGTTTCCTTCTTATTTGAAGTATGCCAGTTATTGACAGTTTTCCAAATAAGAAGGACACACAATCATACTATTGTTTAGGTTTTACTAAATTAACAAAAAGATTAAATAGACTAATAACATATTTAATTATTTCCATTTTATAATATTCTTTAGATATAAAAGGATACAGATCTATATAGATTTTTAAGATAATGGTAATGCCTAATTTCATAAAGTTTTGTTAGGAGAGTATGATGGTCTCTAAATAAAATGGAACTTAAAAATGAACTAAGTGAGTCCGAAATTTCTAATATATATTAAGAATTTTGAAGTTTGAACTACTTGAGGTTTAAAAAAAATTTGTACAATTTTAATTAGCATTTGTGGTCCTTATGGCGTAGGGAGGTGGCGGTCCCATCGCCCGGTCATTGTACCGCAGTCAGCCTCTGGTCCTCCAGGTTGGGGGAACAGTACACTTACACCCACACAGTACACTAAACACAAGTTACAGCACACTACAATCATTCCCACATTACAGACTAAGATCATTTTCAGTACACCCTAGGGTTATCTTCCCTAGGTAGCCTTCCTGGATAGGAGAGTCAGTCAGGAGACTCCGAGGAGGCAGCCCCTCCACCTGAATCGGGGGCAGCTGGGCTAATAACCCTCTCCCCTTAAATCACCATTTATTACGAAAAGTCAAAATAAGAAGAAAGCCGGACTGTCAAAAAAGGTTAAACGTAGGCTTCGTCAAACGGATTTTACTTTTGGATTCTGGAATGTTTTAACATTGAATAGACCCGGAGCTCTAGAGTCGCTCCTCGATGTTTTGGATGGATATATGATGGATGTCACTGCTCTCCAAGAAATAAACTGGACTGGTCAAGGATCAGTTAAAAGAAGCAATCATACCATTTACTATAGTTGTGATAACTCTTCACAAATTCTAGGAACAGGCTTCGTTGTTACTGGTATGTATAGGCAATTTGTCATGGACTTCAGACCGGTTAGTCCACGAATTTGTTCAATTAGGATTAAAGATAAGTTCTGCAGCTATACTCTGATCAGTTGTCATGCACCACCTGAGGCTTCTAATGAAGATGAAAAAGAAGAATTCTATAAATCACTTGAAAACACAATTACATCAAGTCCAGCTGCTGATATTAAGATCATCGGAGGTGATTTTGATGCTGAAGTAGGTAAAGAACCTAAGAACGCAGATTATATAGGTATGCATAGCCTTCATGATGCAAGTAATCATAATGGTTGTCGATTATTAGATTTATGTATCTCTCAAAATCTTGTCATTGGTAGTACAATCTTTCCCCACAAGGATATACATAAGGCTACTTGGTACTCTCCTGATGGACTTACTATTAAACAGGTAGACCACCTTCTTTTTAGTGCTCAGCAGAAGTATATTCTAAATGACGTACGAGTGTACAGAGGAGCTCATTTTGCCTCAGACCACTATCTATCAGCAGCAAAAATAAGACCATTGCTCTCAGCTATTAGAAACAAAAAAGGAAAAAAAAATACGAAGGTTAATAATACTAAGTTGAAAGATCTACCCGATGAAAGTCAATGCAACAATAAAGTTGAAGATCTGAACCCACCATCTATTGGTGAACCTGATGAGGCTCCACCGATTGAATGAAGTTTACAAGTAGTGCCAATTAAAATTAAAAAACATCTGTTGAGCTATAACTTCATTTAAGGAAAAAAGCTATGTGGGCCCATAGGCTAATAAACATAACAAGTAAAGTGGATATTAAATGGTAACTGGTTAAAAAAATCACAAGATTTATCTGACAATGATCAAAGTTGTGAAATATGCTGAAGTGTTAATTAAGTTAAGCAACTGTATATATTCATCTTCCTTACAATAAATGTTATAAAAACTGGAATTTTATTCATTATTATTCTTGACACATAAGAAAATATGTTGTAATATTTATTCGTTTTTCAAGCCAAAGTGTCTGGATGGATACTATTAATATAAATCCATTTGCAACTCTTGGCTTTAAAAAGGAAGGTTACAACATTTATATACACTTTTGTTTTTTAATTTGGCGCTAGTAATCTAAGCTTCCATTCATTCTAGTACCATAAAAATATAGGCTATTCTCCCAGAAAGAGTGAATCCAAATTCTGTTTTTTTGTTTAATAATTAGGAATAAAAAATCATGAATAAAACATCAATAGATATTCATCTATTGATATATTTAATTAGGGATTTGTTTTATTTATTTAATATGTCAGTGCTTCCTCTTTGCTGTCTTACCTGTATCTAATATTCCACTATCTTAACAAGTCTCTTTTCTTTCTGTATAGTTGGCCTATAGGAAAGGAGTTAAATTTTTGAACCTAAACAAAACTAAATGATTTACCATCAAAGCAAGAGAAAATTCACTTATTATCTGTATAACATATATATAAAAAAAAAATAAACTTATATTATTTAAGATAGAATTATGTACACTCAAAACAGGATTAAAATAATTGTCTAGAATTGATTTTTTAGAAGAAGTTCTGCTATTCCCAACTCACAATGTAGAATTCAAGTGCACAGAAATTGGTGGCACTATTTCCTATCAGCTCATGAAATTACCAAAGAAATGCTTACTAATTTTAATTAATTTGGGCTGGGAAAATTGTTTAACCATGTTAAAAATGACTTGCAAAAACCACTGGATGGCTTGAAGTGGAAGAGTTACTATGTAATCAGTAAAAAACGTTTGGACATTGCAATAATATATTCTATCAACACTTATATAAATTTTTCTTCTGATACATAATACATAACAAAGAATATTTGTTAATAAATTTACTAACATTAAATTTTTCATCATTATTAAGAAAAAAAAAATCTATAACCAATAAACACCTAGTATCATGTATTCAATAGAAACCAATACCCAATTTGAAGCCCTTACATGTTAAACAATAGCCACGTCACTAGTGACATGATTTAGGAAAAAACATACCATAACAATTCTCAGAAAGTAAGTTACTACTGTTTCTTGGTCAACGGTTCGGCAAGACGGTGTTTTTCAGGTTTTTTTTTTACTCTTAATTCATTATTTAATTATGAGTACCCACTTTATAGATGTTGGGTAGGTTCCAGGAGGGTCTCAACTCCAGGGATAATGCTTGGCTCATGTAATCGGATAAAATGTATCTGCAATAGCCACCGGACTTGAAACTGGGGTTAATAACCCTGATTGTAATTTAGCTATTTGAATGAAACATGATTACATTTATATATCTTTCTGTAATTGGATTGATCACAAGAATTTTGTGCTTGATTGTTTTTTAAATGCATGGAATGAGGTAAGTTATCTGAATTATTAAGATGTAAGTAAATTGATAAAAGTCCTATCTGTAATTACATTACATTACAGATCTGTAATTAGCTTCTGTAATTAACAAGTAAAATTTTGTGATCAAGAGAGAAAATTCTCATACACATTCAGCTCTCTAATTCAGTTAAATTTAATTATCAATTTCAAGATTTTGGAAGTGAATCAAAAAAAATATTTGGATGTGCTTTTAATACACCATTATGCCTGAATTTCTAATTTTCCTCCTCTATTCACTTAATTGATTTTTAATACAAATACAAGTGGTGAAGGGAACTTTCAAGAGGTCGGTCAATGAGTCATCGGTTTTTTACCAAGTTCGTTGCATGATTCTACATTAAATAATTTTGGAGAAATATCCAACTGTTTGTTCCAATTGGCCGCAGAAGCCAAGAAAGAAATATATGTATAAATAGTTTTATAAATAATTTCTTGAATAAATGAGAAATGATTTATTAAATATGTATAAATTATAAATTTAAAAAAATACACAGAACATTTATATGGCTTGATTATTCGTCTGCCGGAAATTTTATATATTTTACAGGTACAGCACAAATAAATATTTTATAAGAATTACATATCCGTGAATAACTGATAAATAATAAAAGAACTAATACAATATAAAATAATAAATATTTTGAATGATTTATCACTAAGAAATAATAATGAAGGAAAATTAAGGGAAATCATAAACAATAACATGAACAAAACTGACCATTAATAATATGGATGGATCATTCATTGTTTATGCTGGATGTAGCATGTAAAAATAATTTCTTACTCTTATTTTTCTGCATCTACCTAAAGCATATGCACAAGTTTTTTTTATTACATAGAATGAGAAAAGAAAACAATCAAGAGACTTAATTAGACTTAAGCTGTAGTTTTGTCTAAAAACCTGTAGTTTGAGTAAAGTAGGTGATTTTTTTAAGGTTCCTATTTGTTTTCAGCATTTCAAAATACCCTTATATAATTTTTCTTCTTATCAAGATATCTGACGACCAATAGTTTATCTGGATTGTATTTACTTTTTAATTTGGAGTACATTTTTCTCATATTTCTTGTAGTCAGAATAAAAGTTGAGAATCATTTAAAGGTAATTGAATCATTGTTATTCATTTGAGTTATTAAAATTACTGCAGTAATTTATGATTAAATTTAATCTTTATAAATTGCCTCGATTAAGATAATTTTCCATGAATATATTTCTATTTTTGACAAATGTAATCTTGATCTTGAGTTTTATAATTGATTAACTCAAATGAGAGATTGTCTTATTCGATATATGACCATTTATTTGTAACATTAGCCTTTTAATTTTTTTAACTCAAAATGATTCACTTTATACAAATTTAAAATATTTAATGTTAATTTAAAATGTTATTTTTAACAATAAATATTACAATATAACTATAAATATTTATAACAATATGAATATTAGGTATATTAAAAAAATAAATAAATTATCACCAAAATATTAATAAAGTAATTTCATTGTAAAATATTTATATTAGTAATATAAAATAAAAAAAAGGTTGTATAATCAATTAAAACTTTGATAAAGTATCAAAATTTATATTATTTTTACAAGTTGAAGTATATGGGTGATTCTCCCATTTTAGGGGCAAGTTTTAGTCCATTACAACATTTACCTGATAAGTTAAGTCTAACTTGATTTTTTTCCCCACTGTGTTATGGTGAAGAAATATTTCTTCATAATGCAATATTAAAAATTAAAATATTAAAGTAAAATATTAATAGTGTAATTTTATAATTACTTGAGCTTCTAAAATGTCATTACCAAGTATAGTCCCACTCTCAGTTTTCTAGTAAATAATTTTTTTTTTCTTTTGAAACTTATGTAAAATGACAGTGAAATTCATTTCCACTGCTAAAGAATAATTAATGCATTTTGAATTATATATTTTTTTAAACTTTAGTTAACAGTGAAGTATGTTTATGTATTTTTAAACATTGTCCCATCACTTAGATGTCATTACCAAGCAAAAAAGATAACATAAGATATTTAAGCTTGAAAAGAGGAAACAGTGGGGAAATTTCTTCAGTGTAGTAGTAGCCATGGAGTTAAAGGACAGCCACCAGCGGATAGACTGACCACTTGGAGAGCCTCCCTCTGTACATTCGTTTCTTATACATTGAGCATGTACCTTTATTGTTGTCATTACCACCGTGTATATTATCCTTGCTACCTGTTCAAATTATTTCACTTATTATAATTCATGTTTGACTATAGTTTGTAGCAAGTCAGTTGGAAAAAACAAAAATAATGGTACTAGTTACATAGCGGTTTTGGTTGAATAAAATACGTGAAAATGTCATTACCAAGTTGAAAACATGTGTCATTCCCACAACCAAATAATTAGCTTTAATTACTGAGTAAAAAGTACTTTTGGTCTTAGCCATTTGCTTGGATAAAGCTGAGCAGCAATATAAGGTATAGGTATTTAGAAAATTGTATTTAAATGTCATCAAAATTATTAAAATTTTATCATGAAAATTGTCCATAATATAATGCTGAGAATATCCCATATACCAAAGGTTCTCAAACTAGGTGCAGTTGTAATAGAATTTAATTTCAATATTTAGGCTCAGAATTGTCACTGGTGAATAGAAATTCTAAAAATTCATATTAATAACAAAATTATAATAAATAAAATTAAGATAAACACAATTATGAAAATTAAAAAATATGGATGATAATTACTAAAAACTAAAAAAAATTTATGTGAATAAAATAAGAGGAGTAAAACTGAGGTAACTGGAAAAAAGAGATTCTCAGTCAAAAGCTCTTTTTTCAAAGATTGTATGGTAGAACTGCTTGAATTAGAGATTGCTACACACTCTTTTTTTTTTTTCCATAGGAAGGTTCAGTAATGGATGTTTTGATTTGAGGGTTTTTTTAGAAGTAAAATATTGGTGAATTGATTGTCATCCTTTTATTTTTTTTTTGTTTTGAAATCAACTAGAGGTTTTATAAGCATTGATCTTGACCATTTATGAAAATTGAGGAAAAATATTATAGTATTTTGGAAGAGCTATAGCAAAGACTAAAAAAAAAAAAAACATATTTTTTAAAATTTCAATTCAAGTAATTTTTATTTTTAAAAAATTATTTTATTTGTTTGTAAGAATTAGCATTTAAAATAAATCATTGTATAATTGTGTAAGACCTCTCTTAGGTACTTCTTTAACGATATAAAACTACTGTCACATTTTCCCTGATGATAGATAATGCTGTCAGTTGATATTATTATAGAAATTTTACATATACTAATAATAATCAGGAAAGGTTTGAGACTTGCTGTGGTCGATAATTATTTATTCTGTTTCATCAGCTGTGGATCGACATTCAGGTTGGAACCATAAACAACCATCGACTTTCTTACAAAGTACTGGAATCCAAGACTTTTCTTGGGTTATGGTATAGAGGTTTAATAATAATCAGATTATATGGCAGTTACTGAATGTGTTTGAATAGTGCCTATTGAAAGCTAACTATTGCTGATGAATTCATGCTTATTCAAAATTGCTAAATAAAAAATGTTTAGATTTCTTAATTTGAAACTTGGAATGAGATGGTAGAGAGTATTATTTATAAAGCTTAGATAGATTAGTGATAATCTACTTTGGTGCATTAACCAAGATTTTTTTTTTAATAAATTGTTTGACCTCATGTTAGTATTCAAATTATTGTAAAAATTTTGTTAATAATAAATTATTTCACAAAACAGCCAAATCCCATCTCTTAGGCATCTGAAAACATAAAACCAGGAGCTTCTAACATAGAAGTAATTGGGGTACTACCAGGACCATATATCTATATTCATTGGTAATTTTTTTGTACAATGACAGTTATATTATATTTACTTGTTGGATTGTAAAATCCAATAAATATTTTACTGAAGAAACTATAATTATTACTTTCCAACTTTTTTTTTATTTTATGAATTTTATAAATAATAGATTATTTTTCTAAAAGATAATTTATTAGGATTAATAAATCAATTGAATGTAATTTGAGTAATTGCAACTCATTTTGTTTATTTCAGTAAACAAAGTTTTTGGATTCGAGTATGGAGAAAACACTGTGGATTTTGATTATTTTCTTGGCTATTGGACTTACCAAAACAGCGAATATTCTCATCCTTCTTCCACTTCCACTTTATAGTCATACAAACACTTTTTTGCCTATTTTTAAAGAATTGGCTACACGAGGCCATAATATCACAATGGTGTCACCATATCCTCAAAAACAAATTCTTCCTAACTGGACTGATATCACGATTGATATTTCAATATTCAAGATTTTCATGGGTATTATTTTATATCTTTGTTGTAATCCCACTCATAACTTTCAGTTATCATTTTTTAAAAGGAAATTTGTTCAACCCTCAAGTATGTTGATGGTGAATGAAAAAAATTATCACTGAAGTTATTCTTTTAATAAGAATTGGCTATAATTTATGGGATATTTTATCATTATTTATTTTCCTTTTCTTTTTTAATTTATATTTCAGATGAAACAATTAAAGAATTTATGAGTCATAATGTATATTTGTTTTACTTTGCATTCTGGAGATTTTGCTCCAATGTCATGGAATTGGCATACCAGGATAAAAATCTGCAAAAACTCATTCATAGTGAAGAACTTAGTTATGATTTGTTGATTCTTGAACCATTCTTTGCTCAAGAATCACTTATAGCTTTTGGACATAAAATGAATGTGCCTGTTATTGCTCTGCATCCCATATCACTGTCTCCTTGGCCTGCTCATTTGAGTGGCAATGAATTTTCATTATCTTTGTCCCCAAATTATCGTACTGGATATACAAGCCGTATGACCCTAACTCAGAGATTAGATAATACATTTATTAATTTAATAGAATTCTTCACAGCCTATTTTCTTTATTTGCCGCAGCAGGTAATCATAAACTGATTGTAATTTATAATACCTCAGGTATAAGCACACCTTAAATCTATTTTTCATGTTAGGAAAAGTTAATGGAAGATTACATGGTATATCCTGGCTACAAAAATAGGCCACCTATTCTTGATATGTTAAAAAATGTATCTTTAACTTTAATAGATTATCACCATTCAGTAGGATATGTTAATCCCTTACAACCCAATACCATACCAGTTGGAGGCCTCAGTTTAAAGCATGCTGATCAACTGCCTAAAGTAAGTATCTTTTATAGGAAGGAAAATTATCAAAACTTTTTCTAAAAAATATAATTAATCCCTTTCCCCTCCGAACTAGATTTAAAAGTTTATCACATTGTTAAAAAAACTACATCACCATATTGATACTAAATATTATCCCGGTATAAAGTATTCTATTTTATCTCTACCTTGGAACAAAGAAGCTAATGTCCAAAATGTTTAAATTGAATAAACTAAGCCAAAAAATCCTGGTTGGATATAATAGGATGTAAAAAAAAAAAAAATGAACGTTTTATCAAATTCAAGATTTCAAAGGACTGTAAACATTTTAATCCTAATTAATACCTACCAATATTTAATAATACCTTTAGAGCATTATCTAAGCTTACTTAATATAAAATAAACTGCTTTTCCAGTTGCTGCAAGGAGGCAATTTGAAAAAAAAACTTTGCACTTTTTTGAATTTTGAAAGTGTTACTCATCACGAATTTGTTCCTGATGGATGCTCTATGAATTCTGAACTCTGAACTGAAAAGATTTTATGTGAAGTTGTCAGAGCTTTATCCTGATTTGATCAACCGAAAAGGAAATTTATTCCAACATGATAATGCTTCCAAAAGAATGGTGTGGGCATGGGATTGAGCAATCGGCTAGCGGATGGCTAATGACGGTAGATAACAATGGACTATACTTTGAGTATTATTTGTATTTTACATCAAAGAAATAATAATACAAATATTTGGCTGAAAAACGGTCATTTTTTTTTTTTTATACACCCTATTATATTAGTTGTTGTAAGGACCAATATACTCTAGTTTGATGAGTTTTCAATTAGTTTGACATTTTTTTCCCTGATTTTGGCATCGATAGTTAAATTGTCATAATTTTCTTTTCTTCTTCTTGTATATCTCTGATGTCAAAAAGGAAAATAGAATATTATGCTGATTCTAAGTGTTTTGAATAGTATCATGCTTTTATTCTCATTGAAGTTGTCATAAGAAAAGGTAATTATTTAAAAAAAAGGCCAGTTAGTTTAAGAATGGGAAATTAGTTTTTGGTGCTCTTAACTATGCAATTAATCAAGTGAGAAACCTGGTGGTTAAGTGTGATCTGTACCACCTGTACAATACAATCTGTACCCCAACAACTCCATGAGTTGTTGTGGTACAGGTTTTTTATATATATTTTATTTTTACAGGACTTAAAAGACATTATTGAAGAGTCTAATAGCGCTGTGATTTATCTTAGTTTTGGTTCCCATGTTAGTGGAGGAGACGTATCAGCAAAAATACTAAAAGCTTTATTAGAGGCTTTTGAAAAATTAGATCAAAGGGTGCTGATGAAATGGGAAAATGTAAACATTGCTAATAAACCAAAGAATGTTGAAATTAGAAAATGGTTTCCACAACCAAGTGTTTTAGGTAGGAACTATTGATTATTACTGTTCCTATTTATTACTTTTTGATATTAAATCCACACTAAAAAAATGATAAGTTAGATATTTTATTTTCTCAGCTCATCCTAATGTTCATCTTTTCATATCACATGGTGGCCTGCATGGTATCACTGAGGCTTCCTTTTATGGAGTCCCAATTCTAGGAATTCCTTTCTTTTCTGATCAAGAATATAATTTACGATTTGTGGAACAATTGGGTACTGGCTTAACTCTGTTACAAAAAGATGTTAGTAAAGATAGTCTACTCAATGCCATTCATGAATTGTTAAATAATTCTAGGTAAGATACAATAATAAAATCTTTAAAAAATAATTTTTTATTTGTTGAAAATATGATGTTTTTTGCAGTATAATTTCTATAGAAATCGAAAAAATGTGTTATTAATAATTATTACATATTTAATAGTTATTTCAACTTAGTTGGTAAATAAGTTTTAAATGAGATTGATTTTTTTTTTTAAATGTAAAGATGGCCTTTTTGGATAGTAAAATAGTATTCCATTATAACGTTTACACTGTTATTCCCGCACCTAAAATCAAAAGTTAAAAATATTGATTAAACCAACATATTTAGTTTTGAACAGAATGCCATTTCTCTGGCATTACATTCAAGAAAAAAAATCCATTTGCCCTCAAGCCTATGTAAGAAATAAGCCTGAGCTATGTGAAAATGAAAATATCTTATAGAAATAAAATCAGACATTACTTTATTTTAAGTTGTTTTTGAAGAAACTCTGTGAGAAGGAGCAACATTTTGCTACAGAGCTACTTCTATAAGATTTGATAATACCACACTCTGGTCACTGCAGATTAAATAAATATCTCGTATGGAATAGGAAGATGCTTTTGGTTCATGTATGTGAGCAATAAACATGTCTCAGACCCTAAACTTATGTAAGTGAACCTATTTAGTATTTGGAAGTTCTTAAAGCATATTACCTGATTGTGCACAATAATCCCCTATAACATAGGCTCTTAAATTGAGGTTCACAGAACAATTTTGACATTAACTTTAAAACTAACTTCCCAGCTTTTTGATTTTGTTAAAATAATTCATTTAGTAAAAATTATATATGCTTAAGACTTTTTGTATTTCTTGTTGCTTAGCTATTTATTAACATAAATGAGTTGGAAGGGCACCACACATAAAGTACTGTACTACAAGATTACATATGTTTAAGAACCACTGCTATTCTAGGCTTTGGTGTTCTTTTATGTTGAGGGTTAGGAAGACCAGAAAAATTACTGCCATCTCACTACTGAATATAGAGATAGTTTAGCATAATTTTAACTGAATATAAATTTAAAAAATATTATACCATGTATAAAAATTATTTAGTTACAGAGAAACTGCACTGAAAAGATCACAAATTGTAAATGACAGGCCGCATTCGGCACTTGAGTCTGCTGTTTATTGGGTTGAGTATGTGCTGAGACATGAGGGAGCTAGGCATCTGAGACCAGCTAGGTTAGATCTTTCAATTCATCAGCTTCTTTTATTTGATATCATGCTGCTATTTTCATTTACCGTGGTGATCATAACTTTAATAATAGTAGTGTGTATAAAATGTTCATTTTTACTACTTACAAAAATGAAAAATAGAAGTAAAAAAAACATGTGATGCTTCTTTTCCTGTACATTATGAACCTCCTACATAATGAATTGGTACTAATTTTCCTTTATGAAATTTCTTGTGAACACAATAAATATTGAATAAAAATGTTAATAATTAATAACATTTGAATAAAAAACCTGATCTACTGCCTCTCCTGGTCCTTAAAGTTCATTTTCTCTATTAACATTGCAGCTCTCCATCTCAGCTATTATCAGATCTACCTTATTTTTCAGGAATGAAAGTAGGTTAACTAGTCATCTAAGTTGAACTGGGCTATTAGAGCGATTATCAAAAAAAGCTTAACTTCCACGAAAAGAATCTCGAGCTAGTGAACCATTTTTGAAAATTCCTAAATTTCTTATGTGGTTTCTTGCAATCATGGATAACAATATATAACCCTAAATAGAGCTCCATTTTTAGAGCCAAAATTCAAATTTCTCCATTTTTATAGTTTTTCTTTCTTTTTTTAAAATATATAAACTGAACTCTATTGTTCAATAGGATAGTATTAGAACAATTTGCTAGTGAAATTAGTTTGGTTTTGGGATGATTTGTTCTAATACTTGGATAAGACAAAGATAGCAGAACCCAACTTCATTGTTCTATCATCTTTAGCTGTCCATGAAAACCACCAAAAGATCCAGAGATTTATATAATTTTGCCTATTTTTCCATACTGATTTAATTTTATTCATCATTCTTATATTCTATATTTATATGTTGAAAGGAAATATATTTGATTTAAAATATCAATTAATGAAATTATGAATTGAAGGATGGAAATTTAATCATGAGTGGAAAGCCTAGAGAAGATATAGAAACCTGCAAGAATAGCGAAAGATTGCAAATTTCCACAAATGGCATGGGTTGGAATGTGTCTTTAAAACTATTAATAATCATTTCATTAATTCATTTTCATAGGGTTAGTACTAGGTACAATGAATGACAGTAGTGGATCCAGAATTTAATTTTGGGAAGCTTTTTTTTTTTTAAATTTTAAGTAGCGGTAATTACTTTGAAAGAAAAAAAAACAACTATATGTATGAAAAGATGTTTAAGTGGTACTTAAAGGCAGAAAAAAAGATGCTTTCTGTTTGAAGAAGATATGTCCAGTACTGATGGTTAGATGTTTAATTACCTCTAATTTAATTAGGAAGAAATATCATTTTGGCTTAAATTCTCATGATTTCAGGAAAACAATTCCTTAAGATGTACAGAAATGTGAATGGATTCAGATTTTGGCCTACACTGTGGGAAATGTATTCTAGATACCATGAAACATTTCTTTTTTACTAGAGAAGAAATGTTTCAGAGATCTTTTCTACTACTTAGTTTTTGATTTTCATAGGAATACCAAAAATATATGGATAGTTCAAGAGATGGTGTTATATATATTAGTTTCGGCTCTGTTATGAATATATCTTTACATTTATACTTCTACATTCTTTCAATTGAGGCAAAATGTAATTATGAAATGGGAGAAGGAAGAACTGTCTAGTAAGCCTAAAAATGTTAAGACATCTATGTGGTTGCCTCAAAATGGGATTTTAGGTATTAATAATTTAAACTTTGTCTCACTTTTTATTGAATATTTTATTAATTTTCATTAGTTCTCTTCTACCAATGTTTTTCTTAATCTAAATGCATATAATGATTCTAATATTTTTCTTGTTGAATATCATAGCTAGTGGTGTCCAGATGAATAAAATAAACCTAATTGTTTAGGACTTATAAAGGGTGTCCCATAATTAACAAAACATTTGAATTAAAAAAAAACAGTTATTTTTTCTTTGAATTATTATTTTTTTTATTGAATCATAAAGTACACATAGTAGGATTATTTATAAAATAACATATTGGGAAAATGGACTCCACAGCTTTACTGACTTATGTGGACTTTTTTGTTGAAATTTTCTATGACCATTTTGCACAAATGTGGCTGAATTTCGTTGATACAGTGTTGAATTTATTCCTTCAATAGATGCGTGCTTGTTGCCACAGACATTTGACTTCAAATAATCCCATGAAATGAAATCAAATGGTGTTAAAACCACCATATTTTGTACGAATTTTTCCAACTGTTTCCGCAAAACTTTCATTATTTTAAAAATATTTTTCAACAATGAAAACATACTATTTTGAAAAACTTGAAATGAAAAAAATTGTAATTATTTTTCCAACTCATAAATAATCATTATTTTTACCAATAAAATTGAAAATCATGCATGAATTAAGCATAAGAATAAATCTTTGAGTTTTATTGATTCCATTAAATTTAATAGCCATTTTGATTTTGAGCACTAGCTGATTCAAGGGGGAAGGGAGGTAGCGATGAGGGGAGAATGGTTTTCAAGCTCCACAAAATAGATAAACAATTATTTTTTTAATTGGTCCTTATTTGTTTTTATGAATAACTGAGCCAAATACTTAAACAATTCCAGTATGTTCTTATTTTAAATTATAATATATGTACTTCATACTGGTGTCTTAGATGAATGACTAAATAAAAGATGATGATAATACTTATCCAACCTATTGTTTCAGCTCATCCGCATTGCCACTTATTCATCAGTCATGGGTTGGATTGAGTGATGTATTTTCAATAATATACCTCTCATTATTATTCCATTTTTCTCAGATCAGTATCACAATGCTAAGTTCGCTGAAAAAGAAGGCTTTGCTTATGTTTTGGATAACCTTAACTTAACAGCAGAAAATTTATTGTACACAATCAATTCAGCTTTAAAAAATACTGAGTATGCCTTTCATGAAGGTTTTTTATTATTTTTTAATATGGTTTATTTTATTATTTTAAATATTATGTTTTTATTTAAGATTTAAGTAAAACATACAAAGAATATCACTGATTTTGAAAGATAGAGATCAAAGTTCTTTGGACAAAGCAGTCTACTGGGTAGAATATGTCATGAAGCATAATGGAGTAAAGCATCTGAGACCAGCTTCTCTAGATTTGAATTTGTTTTAGTATTTTTTATTAGATATAATATTTTTAGGTTGTATTGTTTTTATTACAGGATTTTTAATCATGTTTCTTATATTATGCATTTTATTAAATTTTTTTAGAGTCAAAGAGAAGGATAAACAAAAATATAACTGTTTTTTTTTTATTTTACTTTTTAAATGGCTTTGAGACATTGATAATACACTATGACATATTGTATCTTAATTAAATTTAATAATAGTATATTTGTTGACATTTGGGTCATAGAATTGATAATTTTATTATTGTTTCCATGACTCACACAAGCAAAAACTTGATTAAACTTTTCATATTAGGAAATCATTGTAATAGACTGACTATGAATTATCTGATGTTTATTAATTTTTTTTTTTTTTTTTTTTTTTTTTTTTTTTTTTTTTTTTTTTTTTTTTTTTTTTTTTTTTTTTTTTTTTTTTTTGGAATGGTGAATTTCATATTTGATGTAATATTTTATTTTATTTTTTATTCTTATTTATATGATATTTACAACTGTATAAAAAAAAAATTCATACATGGATATAATGACATGAAACACATGTTGAGAAACTTCTCATTGATAGCACTCTAATAATATGTCTATAGTAGGAGATCATGGGGCCATCTTCTTTTCAGACGCCTCGGTGGGTTATCAGGAATTGAATAGGAAGAGAGGTTGGAAACAAGAGGGTTGGGATGGTTATGAAGTTTATCATGGAAGGATAGATATCTGGATTGGGCCAAATCTGAAACATAAAGAACATTAAGGTCATTGTGGATGGTTTTATTTTTAACAAAGTAAGGAGCATTGAGGATTTTACTAAGGATTTTGGATTGTAAGGATTGGATACGAGAGGAATTTGAAGGTTTGGTGGAGCCCCATAGCTCAACTCCGTAAGTCCAAATAGGCCTTATTATAGTCATGTATATGAGTCTTTTGTAATTAATTGGAAGGTTAGAGCATAAGTGTTGTATTAGTCGGAAACGTCAAGCGGTTTCTTGTCGTTTCAGTCTGGTATGAGGATTCCAAGTTAGACGTTTGTCCAGGTGGAGTCCTAGGTAACTGATTGGTTCAACAGGAATAAGTGAGGTGTTGTTTGAGCTAGAAATGAGCTTGTATGTATTTGAAATAATTTCAGCAAATTTAATATTTACTAAGCTAGAGAGTTCAAAAGATATTCATTTATCCTATATACTATGGAGAATCTGATGACATAATAACTTATGCTGTTAATTACAGGGTGTACACTTTATACTAGTTCCTCTACTATTCCTCAGTTCTGTAATCAGTAACTGGTGTATATTGTCATTATGCTTTTCTTAATATTCTTTCAAAGTTGTGGTGTACGCATTAAAAAATATTTGTAACCAATATCTCCAAATTCCCTAATAAAAGCTTATTTTGCTAGTCTTGTAGTCCTAGTTCCTAGAGGTCTCATGAATGGTAAACGTTTTGGTAACATCAGACCTTTTTTTTAATTATTAATTTTTTATGTCTGATTTATATTTTTTAATTTTGATAGTAATCATAAATTTGATATGATCGTTATTTAAGTATTATGAAATGTAGTGAATTAATTTAATATAAAAACGTCAAATAAGATGAAGCAAACCTTTTTTATAATTTACCCTCATCTTATTTTTTTTAAAAAATGTTGGTTAAAATAATAGAAAAATAAGAATGAAACATTTAAAATTTGTAGATTTAGGGGGAAATGAATAGGAGATGACTGTTCTGGCAGCCCTACTTTGGACTAATGCTCTGAATAAAAGGAGTAATATAGATGTTTATTAAAGCTGGAAATAAACATCTATATGCTATGGTGCAGTATGGGATGCCCATCCACCCCAAGCCCGATGGCACAAGCCTCCTCCCAAAGAAAGTAAATTAATAAAAAAGTATAGTTTAGTTTTCTATGTACCTTCTGTAGAAAGTTCTCTTCAAATGAAATCTCCAAAAATATAAATTCCTCCAAACATCCATAATCTTGTAAAAATGTGCCCTCTCAAACATTTTGATTGCTCAATGCGCTCCTTCTAGGCACCTCTGCATCGCGGTATTGCATAAATTTAACTAACTCTACTGCAGCTGAAATTAATTTCTATTCTAAGTGTTG